GCTGAGGGGGAAGGATCGCCAGAGCCCAGCAGGTCGAGGCTGCGGTGGCCGGGAGCGGCCACTGTACTCCAGTCTGAGCGACAGAGTGAAACTCCAACTCAAAAAAAAAATTTTTTAAATTATAGGACACAGGCTTGGGTCCATGCAAATCCTGCATCACAGTGGGTGTATCACACTGGCTAGAACTTGACCTAAGGGTGCTACAAGCAGTCACACACAAGTCATTTATATTTGGCAAATCTGTAAATAAAACATGAAGCACTTGGTAGCAGACAAAGCAAATACCTGTAGCATTGCCTGTGGATAAAGCCTGGGAATCCAGACACTTGGGTTCTAGTCCTGTTCTGTCCCAACTTACTTGGTGATTTAGAGGCAAGTGTCTTCCTTTGCTGGGTCTCAGTCTTCCTATCAGAAGGTGATGTTCTAGGTCAGACATTGACACCAGTTCAGGCTAGATCCTGCAAGCTGGCTTTTCTTTCGTTCTTTCTTTCCTTCATTAACATTGGTTTCCTTCATTAATGTTGGTTCCCTCATTAATGGTGAAAAGGCTCATTCTATATTGGTATGAAACTTAGGTTTTGGTTTTTTTTTCTGAGTCGGAATCTCACTCTGTCGCCCAGACTGGAGTGCAGTGGCTGCTCCCGGCCACCACAGCCTCGACCTGCTGGGCTCTGGAGATCCTTCCGCCTCAGCCTTCCAAGTAGCCGGAATCACAGGCACGCGCTACCATGCCTGGCTGATTTTTTTGATTTATTGTAGAGGTGAGGTCTCATTGCCCAGGAGGGTCTCGAACCCGCAGGCTCAGACAATCCACTCACCTCAGCCTCCCAAAGGCACAGGATTACAGGCTGAACCACCGAGCCCGGCAAAACTTAGGTTTTAATCTTGATTTTTTTTTTGTTTTGTTTTTTTGAGTTGGATTCTCACTCTGTTGCCCAGGATAGAGTGCAGTAGCACGCTCACAGCCACCGCAGCCTCAACCTGCTGGGCTCAGGCGATCCTTCCACCTCAGACTTCCTTTTTTTTTGAGTTGGAGTCTCACTCTGTCGCCCAGACTGGAGTGCAGTGGCTGCTCCCGGTCACCGCAGCCTCGACCTGCTGGGCTCCGGCAATCCTTCCGCCTCAGCCTTCCAAGTAGCCGGAATTACAGGCATCCACTACCACGCCCGGCTGATTTTTTGATTTATTGTTGAGATGAGTTCTTGCTGCCCAGGCGGGTCTCGAACCCGCAGGCTCAGGCAATTCACTCACCTCAGCCTCCCAAAGGCGCGGGATTACAGGCTGAGCCACCTAGCCCGGCTGTTTTTTATTATTTTAATAGTATTATTATTATTATTTTGAGTCAGCATCTCACTCTGTTGCCCAGGCTGCAGTGCAGTGGCATGCTCATGGCTTAACTGCAACTTTGATCTGCTGGGTTCAGGTAATATTTTGCCTCAGCCTCCTAAGTAGCTGGGGCTACAGCCATGTGCCACCAAGCCCAGCTAATTTTTTGATTTTTTGTAGAGATGAGGTCTTGTCAAGTAAATAGAACAACATGCCTGTAGTTGTATTTACTTGGAAAGGCTGAGGGGAAAGAATCACCTGAGCCCAGCACTCCAGCCTGGGCGACACAGTGAGACTCAAAAAAAAAAAAAAAAAAATATATATATATATATATATGTATATGTATATAATTTCCAAATTTAGCAAAATCACAGGTCCAGAGGTAATTGCTGGGGATCCTCCATGAACTCGAGGGGGTAATAAAGCTTAAGCTTCATTAGTTCCATATTAGCGCCGCCTCTGGTGACAGTGCAAGGGAGAAACACAAAGCAAGAACGCTGCATGGGGAGGTGGGACCAGGCATTGCAATTCTGAATAGGATGCTCTGAGTTGATGGCAATAGAGCAAACACCTGAAGGTGAGGAGGGAGCCATGCGAATATGGGGGTGGGCACTGCATCCTAGATTCTAAATTTAGGTAAGCTCCTAGACAGTGTGTGCCTCCACGAGAAAAGGAGGGCTGTGGGACAATGGGACACCAAAGCTGGGGCCCAGAAAAGGTGAGACACATTCCTGGTCAAGCCGCAAATCAGTGTCAGAGTAGGGACCAGAACTCAGATTTGCTCACTAGTTGTTGTGTACGGGCAGATGGCTAAGCTAAGGCCCTTGACCCAAGACCTAAGATCATAAGCCAGTCTCTATTGGTTTGTTTTATAATCCCACCCCCCGAGGGCCTCTCCCGGACTCAACAACCCCTTGAGTTCAAGAGCTGCCGGTGTCCCAGGTCTCGTGCCACAGCTGGCCTCATCTATGCCTGCTCTAACCCTGGTATTCACAAGTTGGGAGGCGCCTCTTTTCAATACCCTCTTACTCCATGGGACCAAGTCTTAACTTCTACACCCAGAAAATTTAGTCTTCCGAGATTAGAAAGTTTGAAATTTCTTGGCGCAGGCAAACCGCTTACACCTAAATTTAAGGTCAGGCCCCTATAGCCGAATTTCCCTTCACGCAAGAAGCCGGCCCGAAGAAGCTGTCAGCCATCTTTTGTGTGGCATTTTTCCCCGTGTTCCTCTAAATTTGTCCATCCTTTAGGTCGAACAACTTCATGTCCTTATTTCTTAATTTACATTAGTGCTATAGACTCACATTTATTGCAAAGTTTCTTTTTGAAGAAGAGAAAAATACAGGTTCTTCGTAGCCTTCTTCCTTCCTAATATGGCTATCTCAGGCGGCCGGCGGCACAGAAAAGGCTTCCGGTTTCCCGGCCGGCTCCAGGGGAGTGAACTTCCGGTTTCCAGACGCAGGCGCGAACCCCTCCTTTCGCTCTTTCCGGGAGTGTTCGCGAGAGCTGCAGCCATGTCTTATCCCGCTGATGATTATGAGTCTGAGGTAACGTGGCCCTAAGCGCGTGGTGGGTTCTGCAACGGGTCAAGGCTCTCTGGAGGCTGGGCCCCCGGGCGACGCAGCGTCCGGGCCTCTCCGGGAGTCTCCGCCGCTTGCGCCCAGCCCTTGCTCACCTCCCGCACGGCCCTCATGCTGCTGCCACGGCTCCCGGCTCCTCGACAGCCCTGGCACTGCCCGCCCACTTCACGTGACCTGTCCGTTCTTCTCTTTTCAACACTGAGGACGTAGGCTGACTAGCCGGTTCTGTGTTTCTGCACCTGAGCTCTCCTTTCGGTCTGGACTCCGTTTGGTCAAACCCTGCTGATTGCCACAGCCTCTTGTGCTTTGCTCTCCCCAGTTGCACCCATAATGTTTTGTCGTCCATTTGTTCTCCTTTTCCTCGCAGACATGTGAGTTCCTCAGGGACAGGACGGTGTCTATTCTACCTTTGTAGCCTTACCTCTCTGCTTGTCCTATAGGCGCTAGGACGAACATTCTGAATTCACGAATTGATGACTGTTCTGGCTTTCTTTTTCCCTACAGGCGGCTTATGATCCCTATTCTTACCCGGGCGACTATGATATGCACACAGGTGAGACCATGGATTTGGCTAGCTGAATACTCGTTTTGAACGGGCTCCTTTTTGAATGCCTCAGAACCAGATCTGACAGGCACCTATTAAAAACTGCTGCTTGATGGTCCAGGTTTGGAGTCAGTCATTAACTCCCTGTGGGATGTCTTGTATACAGTCTCATAAACCAGGCTTTTTTTCTTTTTTCTTTTTTTTAGTTGAAGTCTCACTCTGTCGTCCAGACTGGAGTGCAGTGGCTGCTCCCGGCCACCGCAGCCTCTACCTGCTGGGCTCCGGCGATGCTTCCGCCTCAGCCTTCCAAGTAGCTGGAACTACATGCGTGCGCTACTATGCCCGGCTGATTTTTTGATTTATTGTAGAGATGAGGTCTCGCTGCCCAGGCGGGTCTCGAACCCGTGGGCTCAGGCAATCCACTCACCTCAGCCTCTCAAAGGCGCGGGATTATGGGCTGAGTCACCAAGCCCGGTTCCAGGCTTTTTTTCATGGTGCATCTCACAGTCTCAGAAGAGAAGGATTACTAACCTGGCAGTGTTTAAACTATTAGCCAAAGAAGAAAATCTTGTTTTGAAATTTTTAAATAACTCAAACCAAACTAAAATAGAATTTTTCGGGGAGACCTTTGAGATTTCTTGAGAGTTATACTGTCTTGTCTTGACTTAGCACTCAGCATTATGCGTTGTTCTGAGTACCTGATGTTGTGAAGTGTTTCATTTAATTCTTGCAGCAGTTATATAAAGTATGCAAATATTGTCTACTAAAGATGAGAAAACTGAGCATATAGAGGTCTAATAACTCACCAAGAGTCATATATTTAGGAGGTGTCAGTCATTCATTCAAAAAATATTAAATGCATCTTGCTATTTACCCTGTCCATGTAGCGTCACTTCTTTCTCCCAACACACGTAACTTTTCCTTTTTTTTTTTTTTGAGTTGGAGTCTCACTCTGTCGCCCAGACTGGAGTGCAGTGGCCGCTCCCGGCCACCGCAGCCTCGACCTACTGGGCTCTGGCGATCCTTCCGCCTCAGCCTTCCAAGTAGCTGGGACTATAGGCGCGCGCTACCACGCCCGGCTAATTTTTGATTTATTGTGGCGATGAGGTCTCGCCAAGTTGCTCAGGTGGGTCTCGAACCCGCGGGCTCAGGCAATCCACTCACCTCAGCCTCCCAAAGTTGCGGGATTATAGGCTGAGCCACCGAACCCAGCTCAGAATTACACACTTTTTACAGACTTGAATTTAGTTTGGGGATATTCTTTCCTTTTGTTCTATCATATATGTGTGTTAGGAAGTACTCTAATTATTGTCTCCAACTTCTAGGAGATCCAAAACAGGACCTTGCTTATGAACGTCAGTATGAACAGCAGACCTATCAGGTGATCCCTGAAGTGATCAAAAACTTCATCCAGTATTTCCACAAAACTGTCTCGGATTTGATTGACCAGAAGGTGTATGAGCTACAGGCTAGTCGTGTCTCCAGCGATGTCATTGACCAGAAGGTGTATGAGATCCAGGACATCTACGAGAACAGGTATGAGCCGCTGGCTGAAATGATCTCTTTCTGGGTGGGACTGGCCTAGTGATACTGCTCCTACAAATGGAGTGAAGTTCAATCATTTTTTTCTGTAAGAGTGCTCCAGGAGTCTGTCTCTTGGGGCTAGGGACGTGTTATTTTTTTGTACTTTGTATTCCCAAAAAAGTGTACAAAGCCTAAAATAATATCACTGTTAATAATTATAATAATAGCGATTAGCATTTATTATCAGGATAGATAAGGCAATCAGTGTTCAACGTGGCTTTCTTGTATTTACTCATTTACCCTTCACAGTTATCTCATATACTAGGTTTCATGGTTTTTCTCATTTTACAGATGAGGAAACAAGTCATATAGCTAGCTAAATGGATATGCTGAATTTTGAACCTGCTCAGGGTAGTATCAGAGCCTAGTTTTTTTTTTTTTGAGTTGGAGTCTCACTCAGTCGCCCAG